TTCTTGCGTGGTAAGTTGGTGTTTGATTGGGGGGGGTGGGGGGGTTTCGATGCCCATTTTGTCGGTAAACCACTTTGTAAATAAAAATAAAACGTTAATCACAAATCATTTGCAGACCTTTCCGACAACCCAAGTTCGAGAACTTCTGGTAAAGTGACCGCCCATCTTGTTCTTGTTTGCGCAGTGCGGTGGGCGCCGGCAGCAAAGGGAACCAGTTCCTCATGTGGGTCATTTGCTCCTTCAAGTGCAGAGTGAAGGCAAAGCTCTTTCATGCTCAGACCAACCAGGAGACGGCCTTTTTTGACACCGCAAAGATAGGTAATGCAGAGAGTGTGGTACAAAAATAGTGCACAGCAAACAAGCGGTCATGTCTCTGACCCCCGCCAGTGTGATGTAGTGTCCCCTCCCACCCCAAAAAAATAAATGTATAATTTTTTTTCCGGGCGCAGGTGAACCCACCTCCTTGCTTTCCAAAGACATCCCCCTGATGGCTGAAACGGTTTGTCTGAACATCAACATTCTGCTGAGGACGCTCATCCAGACGGCGTACACACATGGTGAACCTCTCATGGATGCTAACATGTTTAGTGCTCTTGGAGGTCCCCATCACGGGCCTCATCCAGACCATCTCCAACAAACAGCACCAGGTAAAGCTGACAGACCAATCATGTCCATTGATTGTCGCTACTGTAGCTCCGCTCACTGTTCAGTCCAGTCAAACGGATGGATTTCGGTCATTCTAATGAGTTGGCTGGTCGAGTGATCTTCAAATAAAGCCACCCCAAATCGATGACTCGCCCAACCCCACGAATGATGCAACCTTGCGTTTGCAGCGGTTGACGCAGGCCACCATGACTCCATGTCCGCGGCAAACGAGACGGCTAATGAGATCATCTTGGCCGTTCGACGACGCCGAGCTTCAACGCTGAGAAACACGAGGCCCGTCACTACGACGACCGGCTGATGGACACGCACGGGGTCAAGACCCAGCGGGACACTGTCAGGATCATGTCCCTTCTGGGTAAGATGCTGGTCAAACTCTTTTGGCAACATTGGATTTGGGGCCCTCAATTTCTGCCAATAACAATAATAATAAGAAGAAGAATTTAGTGTGTGTGTTTTAGAGGTAAGATCGGGCCTAAAAAATCCAGCCCGACCCAGCCCGAGCTCGACCAATTAACTTGATTTGCAGGCCCGGCCTGAAGCAAACCTGAAATTTCATATTTTATTTGTGAGCACTCGGGAGGAGGAGGGGTGATTGATGATAACCAATTAAAGCCTGTCTTTTGTCACGAAATCTAACTTAAACAAGACTGTATAAACATTTACATCTTTTATATTTCTGTTTCTGCAGCGGGTAAGTGAACCGACAATTTTCCATCAGTGACGGATTTTTTTCAGAGTTGACGGAAACATTTCATGCCATCCGTCATTTTGACGGGTTGAAAATTAGGCCATGAACCACAGCAGCGGTACGTCCTCATGATTCTAGCGCGGCACTTTAAGAGAGAGAAGCAGAGAGACAAAGAAGAACAATGACGGGTGGATAAACGACAGAGACAGGAAGGAGTTCTTTGAATAATCATTGCATGAGTTTAGTACAGTACGTATTGTGATGAGGCGACTTCTGTTTTTTTTGCGAACCACGGTCTCTCGTGGCCAAATCTATTCACGGCCTCGAAACGCCCCAACGCACTGTGATGTTTGGGTCGCAACATCACAGTGAGTTGTGACAAGATACTGATTTAATCACGGTGTTTCTTGCACATCATG